TTAAATTTATTTTTTTATTCTTCAAGCTACACATGCCTGTTTCCAGTTTTATTATCACATGAGAGGGGATGATATGGGTGACTTGAATATAACTGCACAGGACACCTATGGATCCGAAATTACTAAATGGACAAAGTCAGGACATTTTGGTTCCAGATGGGACAAGGGCTTTTTTTCTCTACCACCTACCTCTTCATTGGTATGCTTACACTACGTTTTAGATTAAAATGATTTTAAAAAAAATACCAATTTAAAATCTTTGTGTTCTGGATCAGCGATTTTATTTATTTAAAATGGAGTCATTATTATGTTTTTTGAAAATTGTCCAACAAATTTCGATTCATTAGCTGTCTTGTATATGTTTCATACATATTAATACAGACCCATGAAAATATGTGCTTTTTGAGGACAGAGATGGTATGAAGAGAGCGTCAAGGATATGTCTTTCTTCTTTATAGATTATGATAACTGGAATCAGAGGCGATGGATATCAGTCAGATATTGCACTTGATGACTTCAAAATCTTTCAAGGGCATTGTGGTAAGTGACAAAAAATTATATTCTCTGAAAAATGAAATAAATTTGATTTAGAAATGTATTCATATAATCATTGCTCTTTTAGACTGTGATCAATGGAAATATGGATTAACTTGTGAAAAATCATGTGATTGCATAAGAGGAACTTCTGAAGGGTGTAATAGTCAGACTGGAAGTTGTATTTGCCAGTCAAGATGGAGCGGCAAAACATGTAATTGCCGGAAATCAGAAGACAACTGTCACCCTGCATACTCTTATTGCCATGGAGACATATGTTTATGTAAAGATGGCGTATATGACACCGGTGTTACGTGCTCCGGTATGATTCAAAAAACCGGGTTTTTTTTTTACATATTTGTCGAAATGTTCATTAATAAATATTAAAATTTTAAACTTAGTAGCTGTGGATTTCCACTACATTGCCAATATAACCATTCAGGTCAAGCAACCTTCGAAAAACAAACTTACTCTAATAAAGATATTATGCATTGTTGCAGGCATCAATGACATAACATATTTCTGTGCATTTGATATGCCAGACAGTCTTAAACAGTGCAAGATTGTATTGCCTCCAATGCAGTGGGAGATCGAAGAGGTGAGATTCCATCAAATCTAACATAAATCAGAATCAGAAATAGTTGACATTTTAAAGTCATTTTTTCCATTAAAGAAATGAATAAACAATATATCCAGGGTAAAAGCAAATGTTGACACTCTCATATTTATGAGTAATTAAGATCGCAGAGAACTTCATTGCAGGACAGCACTCACTCGATTAATGATAACTATCATCTGTCAAACAACCGCTACTTGCAAACAAGACTGTCTCCGGAAAGCACAATGTTTTCATTCTCCCTCAAGAATATATCGTTGAGTAAGTGTTGCCTTAATGGAGCATATAAGTAATCAATTTAAACCTTTTATTTAAAAGTTAAAAATGAAAGAATGTAAGAGACTCTCTTTTAATACTTTGTAGAAACTGATAGTTGTCTTCAAGTCAAATATTTCACACGCGATCCAACAAAACAAAGTCTACGAATTCAGGTGATAAGAAATGGGCATTTGATGAGTAATAGGCTGCTTCAAGGAAGAGATTGGTCAACTGCCCGTGTCTCCATAAAAGCATCTTCAAAGATCAAGGTGCGTTTGCATAAGCTTGAGGTTAAAATAGTTTTTGATGTTTTGATGTTTATAAATAGCTATCTTTATATTTATTACTAATAAAAAAGTCCAACAAAAGAAATGTTTATTACATCGATCTAACAATTTCACTGTTGACTGACCTGCCGGTCCAACATAAGAATTGTTAGACCGCACCGTCTCTGCTACGTCACAAGTAAGTAATTATTGTTCAATATCGGTGACACAGAACTAGCCGAAGATAAGAGTTGCAAGAGTTTATGCTACCAGCAAAGTAAGGAAGAATGTTTTGTGATAAATAATTTTTGTGATATAATGAAAATATAATTAATTTTGTTCTTTCTCAGCTATTTTTTATATTTACTGATTAAGCCATATATTCCATATAAAGTAATTGATAATATAGTGTGTATTGATTATATCTTAAGTGAACACTGAAGGGTATAACAAAACAGTCAAAGACTGCGATTCGGTCAACATATGATTTGTTGGACCTGAGGGTTAAAATGTTGCCCTTGACCTGGCCTCGGGCAATATTTTCATCTTCAGGTCCAACAAATCATATGTTGCCCTCATACCCAGTCAATAACTGTATAATATTACTTGATTAAAAGTATGTTGACATTTTTTTGCAGATTCATTTTATTGTGAACGTCAACAATAGTTGGCCTGTGCTTATGGACGACATAATCATAACGGCCAAGAGATATGGTAAACTTGTTATCATTATTAGCGTATTTGGATATCATAAAGTAGATTTTTTATGAAATAATAAATTTAATCTTATTTTGATTTATATATCAATTAATTGGCAAAATAAATATAATGAACTTGAGTACTCTATGAAGTTCTAACGTATGAAAACTTGATAATGACGTAAGCTTAGAATACTTCTTTAAATTTGATTCTGATGCCCTTATTTATCTTCTTTTTTTTTTTTTTATAATTTTGCAATCGTTATTGGACAGCTATTGACCAAGCACTTTCTTCAAATTCACCTTTCTTCATGTTTTTGGAAACATTTAAAGTTGAATCGTAATGTACATGTCCATTGTCTGTTATCCTACAGTTCTTCTCCATTTTTTCTTTTTTTTTTTTTTCATTGAGAATTTCTTGATTTTTCCTTTATTATTAAGCCTTACGTTAAAAACAAATAAAGTTTTATTATCATTTCAACTATCTTTTCAAGGAATTTGTACCTCTATAAAATCCAATCTTGGACCTTTATTTAAGAACATTTTAGAGTTGTATAAGTAGAAAAATTTATTTCCTACATGTCAGATTTGGTAATGTGTTTAATATTTAGGATTAATATGATAAAATACACTTCAGTATCTACTTAAAAACCCCAATACATATTTTACTTTCTGTAAATATTACTTGAAATTATGAGCATATTATAATCTAATGTGAAACTAATTTTCGATGTGCACTTTGTTTAAATTGTTTTGAAATGAATTTTATTCTGTGCAGGTGCTTGTTCACAGTGGTACTATGGCTCAGATTGTGAAAAGATGTCGAAATGTAACCGTACAAATACTCTTTCATTTGACCATCAAGATCATTGCAATTGTAAGGCAAACTGGTGGGGTGAAAAATGTGACTGCACTAAATCAGAGAACGATGCTTGTCGCAGACAGGGGGAGATCTGCATGGGTGGTACTTGTTCATGTGAGGTTGGATATACAAGAGCTGGATTGGGCTGCAGAGGTATTTTTTGTTATTTTATTGTTTGTTGCGTAACGTTTCTCTGCAGAATTTTTCACCCATATGGAGATATCGTCACTTGCCAATAGAGCTGTAAAAGTTGACTTTTGATCGGCACTCAATGCCATTGAGCTGTGATGAACCCTTTTCATGTCAATAATTATGCCTAGGTCACATTTAAGACGATGGTCGGGCGACTAAATTTTTCTGGTCTTGTCGGCTGAAAGAACATGATCGACCGACAAAGTATCGGGCGACAAGGAGCAGTCACATTATTTTCTAGGAACACCGATGACTTATGGAATAATTTTTTATGTTATTTTCGTTCAAAAAATATATATCAATCCATGCATCAAAATTTTGTTTGTGTTATGTATATATCCTCAATAGGTTGAATATTCAGAAGTCGGCCAATTGTCGCCCGATCATCGAGCTCTGAGCTACAGTTTGATTTTAAACGTCGGCCGAACTAATGAACACCTTTATTGTTGAACGACGGACGACCGTATTTATTAACTGCCTCCCGATTGTCGGACGATGATCGAAGGTTGGTCGACGGATAACTTCAATTGAAGAATCGGCCACCGACGCAGAAAAACTTATAACTTGGACCGATGGACACAAAATTGGTCGGCCGACAATGAAAGAGGTCAAAATCGGGCAAGACAGCGGCCGATGAACTGCCGACTGTCACCCGAAGAATCCCATTTTTGCTTCAAAACCCGTCGGCCGTTAGTCGTTTTTGGAAATGTGACTGGGGTTTTACTGCGACACGGAAAATCGGTTTATACGTTCTCATCCGAATGGTTGGTTACCACCTACCATTGTGGGATTCGAAGTGGCGATCCAAGGATCAACTCCTTACATCGCAAATCTAGAGCAAACGCTCGAACCACTGCAGTTCATATCAGTGTTTTGAGTTAATGTTGCTGCCTTTCTCAGGTATCATAAAGTGCTATGCGTTTTGAATTACTAAAAAATTATTAATTTTATAAAACATGTTAAGTTGAGCTGTTGTGTATTTTACAGAGCTTAAAGCTTTCTTTTTTTTTAATTTACAGATATTGATGAATGCAAATTCCAATGCAAAAGTTCTCTGCAAACATGCAAAAATACGAATGGATCGTATTCATGTGTTTGTAATAAGGGTACTGTTGGGGATGGTGCCATTTGCTCAGGTATTTGCTCATTGTTTTAAGTAGAAATTCTTTGCTCCCTTATTTGGGTCTTTTTTTCCTTCAATCGCCCTTGCCATGTGCACTTCGTTTCAAAGTAGTGAATTTTTTAAAACCTTTTTGTTTAAATTAGAAAGAGGTCTAATTTCATTAAGAACTAGATGAATTTGTTTGTGCTTCTATGTACACGGTTAATAAAAATAAAACAAATTAAAATTGGATAATTATAACGAAAAGTATTCGCACGTTAAAATCAAATGAAACTTCATAAATTTGGAGAGTGGTGAACTCGGATATCTAAAAACACAGAAGGGCACAGGTACCGTGGAGATATATTCATCTCAAATCAACTAGGATCATGATCAGACAAATGGACAAATCCACATTATCAACTTTATAATTTGGAGTACAAATTAGATATTTTAATTGAGAAAGCATCGTCGAAATATATTTACAGAAGTTTTGAATAAATTCTGCTTAATGTTTATAAAGGATAACTCTGGTATTAGTGGAACGCATTTTCACGAATTGAAATTTGTACATTGTACATAGTTTTAAACACTATTTTCAAAAACAACATAGAAATTATTAATAAGAAACTTGATATTCTTTTTTTCGTTCAAAACGTTTTGATCTAATTCAGAATTGCAAAATTATTTTGCAAGAGATCATTGACATATTCGGAGATAGGTAAGGCAATGATAATAACTAATGTCGATATTTTCAGGAGAACAAAACAGAAACAAGCTGCCAAGTAAATTATTTCTTGTGAATTTTTCAAAGAAAACAAAGAATAAAAATTGGTAAAAATACTTACATTGTATGTTTTAGAATCGCCGCTGGCCATTACAAATGGGTCTACCCCAATGGACGGAATTGTACTGATGTGGCGAGACAATGTCTGGGGTGCATTGTGTCAGTCCTTTGATCTGTTTACAGCTATGCTAGCTTGCAATACGCTTTTCAATGGCGATATGTAAGTTGCATAGGAGAACTACGTATCGATTTCTTTAATTTGAAATACCTGTATTTACCTTGCTAATTACGCATCACTTCTTATAAATGGAATGCATGTTTTTTTTTTTTGAATTCGAACAATTGTATTTTATCTTATGAAGAAATTTCTTCTTAACTAATATGTTTAATTCATATCTTACCATAGACACGGTGTTCATCTTGCTCAGGAAGGAGGCTACAAATCGCCAAATGGGGTCACATACAAGTCTTTTATATGTGATCAAAAGAGTAAAGGATTTGACCTTACAAAATGTAATGTGTCTATTGAACCCTGTGACACTGAAAAGGAGGCGATGCACTTATCCTGTGGCGGTGAGTATTTTGAATAAAATATACAAGCACATAAATGTGTGTCTTTGAATGAACATATTTTTTTTAAAACTTATTTTGCATGAAAGCCCGTTTGACAATTATGAAAATGGTCTATGCTACCTACATTAAAATACAGTTGTACTTTTCGGTTAACATTGGTTTACCAGTAATTAAGTTATTCTCGTCTTAACCTATTAGTGGATTTTAGAACATGTTAATCACATTAACATCTTTTTTAAT